CACCTTCTCCCCAAGATGTGTAAGTATACCAAGTTTGGTAGTGCTAGGTCAATTAGGGGCCGAGTTAGAGAGCGGAAGGGAAAGGTCAAGGTAAAGGTCAAATAAAGGTCGCAGTGACCTGGTTTTGGTATGCTGCTCACCTTCTCCCCAAGATGTGTAAAGTCGCGTTCACACGGTCATGGTTTGGCTCAAGCCAAATGGGCTCGATTTGGCTCGGGCCGGTTTGAGTCGGAGCGTTCACACGTACGCAAGTGAATACTGTCTGTCAAATTCAAATTCAAATTCAAATACATTTTATTGCACAAATATCTCACAGATACTTTGGCAGTATGTCGCCAGATGGTGTTGTGTACGATTCAGAGTGTTTACTTACGTTCCGAGTTCAATTACGAATTCAATCTTGAAAACGTGCATCCTGATCAAATTTTTTCGAATTTTTATACTGTTTTGGACTTTATTTCGTTGAAGTACACGTTCGACACTTGCGGCATCTACCGCTCAACCGATTCTACCGCTCTACCGCTCGCCGAAAGCTGGTGCTGAAAATTTGGCTCGGGCCTAGTCCGACGTTTTCGATGGGACCAAATCTGGCACGGGCCTAATTAGGCTCGGGCCAAAAACGTCCGTGTGAATGTATCCCGTCTCATCTGGATCATCCCATGAGAAAATGGTGTAAAGTCTAAGCAGGTGATTTTAGCGCGAGAGTTCAAGTATAGTTCCAAGTTTGGCATACAGATGGCGCCTCAGTACAGTGTAACACAGCTCAGCTGCTTTCTGTTCTAGCATGAGAATCCTGTCTGTTTTAATGTAAAGTTGATTCGTGTTTAGCTTAATGCAAGAAGTTAATACTGGATTCTTCATACTTGTCATATTGATACTTTATGTCTCTTTGAATCATAACGTGGTGAAATCATTGATTAGAAAACTAGGTTTGTTAGATGAGACTTTAAAGTTGAATTATTAGTTCATGTATCCGTGTTTCTGTATTTTCAGAACCACACCCATCATTTTACTTCATATCATAAGTGATTAGAAGAATTGTTCCAAAGGCTTGTTGTCTTCTTTCCTTCCTCGGCCATACCAAACGTATAGATCAGTTTATCACCTACGTATCGTTCCGATCACTGATTCGATCAGCACGCATAATTAACGTAAATCCACGACACCGTGTTAGAATGAATTGACTTTATTATTATTAAATCTTTACTGCATGTAATTCAACACACAAATACATGTACTGAAGACTGAAATTTGAGACTGAAAATCTGATAGATGCAATAGTGTTGAGACTTAATTGCTCATTGGCTCTATGCCAACTAATTGTGAATGCTTAGCAATGGGCTTCGATATTGTTGCACAATAAATATAAGATTGCACCAAAGGGCATGAGTCATGCTGGTCATCGATCCAACTGGAGGTATTGCACCACCATCAGAAATGACCAATCAAGACGGCACGCTCGCCTGCTCATTGGACACTGAACAGGGACGTCACGAGATAATGAGATGCCAGGCCGCGACCTATATAAGGGGAGAAAAGAACGTTCGAGAGGATAGGTGTGGCACACGAGTACGAAGGAGCGTATATAGTAATATAGCGTATGTTGTAATAGGGATAACCTATTTAGTAATTAGTTAATTTAATTATTTAACTAGAAAGGGCCAACTACATGTATCCCCCGTGTTCTCCCCAAGATGTGTAAGTATACGAAGTTTGGTCGTGCTAGGTCAATTAGGGGCCGAGTTATAGAGCGGAAGGGAAATATGATAAAGGTCAAGGTTAATGTCAAATAAAGGTTGCAGTGACCTGGTTTTCGGTACGCGAGGAAGGACATTACTCGCGAGTGTCTCCTGCCCAAGATGTGTAAGTATAGAGTCAAGTTTCGGTAGCGGCTAGGTCAATTAGGGCAGTTATCAGAGAGCAGGAAAGGAATATTGATTCCATAGACAGGTAAAGGTTAAATAAAGGATCGGTTTAAGGCTGGTTTGGTAGCGCTAGTCAATTAGGCGGGCACGAGTATAGAGCAGAAGGGAAATAATGAATAAGGTCAAAGGAAATCAAAATAAAGGGTCGGGAGTGACCTGGTCTTCTTGGTACGCACTGCTGCACCAGCTTCTCCGCAGATGTGTAGTATAGGAACCACAACGCGAAGTTTGGTAGCCGCTAGGATCAATTAAGCGGGCTGAAGGTAATAGAAGAGCGGAAAAGGAAATATTCAAGGATAAGGTAAAGTCACAATAAAAGTCGCAGATGCCCGTGGTTTGGTACGGATGCATGCCCCTCTCACCGAACAAATATGTAAGTATGCCCAAGTTTGGTAAGGCGGTAGCAATTCAATTAGGCGGCGCCCCCGAGATTTAGAGAGCGGAAGGGAAGATAGTGATAAGGTCAGGTAAAAGCACGTTCAATAAAGGTCGCAGTGATCTGTTTTGGTGACTGCTCAGCCTTCTCCCGCCAGAATGTAGGTAAGTATGCAAGTTTGGATAAGTGCTAGGATCAATTAGGGGCCGGTTCAGAGACGCGTGGAAGGAAAGGTAAAGGTAAAGGATCAAATAACGGGTCGGCAAGTGACCTGGTTTTTGGTATGCTGATCACCTTCTCCCCAAGATGTGTAAAGTCGCGTTCAACGGTCATAGGTTGGTGCAAGCGCAAATGGGCTCCGATTTGGCTTCGGGCCGGTTTGAGATGGGCGTTATCACACGTACGCAAGTGAATCTGTCTGTCAAATCTTCAAATTCAAATTCAAATAAATGTTTAAGTTGGCCAAATAATCTCACAGATAACTTTGGCAGATCTGCTCGCCAGAATATGGTGTTGTGTACCCGTTCAGAGTGTTTACTTACGTTCCCGTAGTTACAAGTTCCGAATTCAATCTTGAAAAACGGTGCATACTGATCAAATTTTTTCGAAATTTATACTGTTATTGGACTTATATTTCGTTGAAAGTACACGTTTCGAAAGCACTTGCGGCACTCTAACGCCTCACAGCCGAATTCTAACGCTCTAACGCCTCGCCGAAAGCTGGTGCTGAAATTTGGCTCGGCCTAGTCCGACAGTTTCGATGGACGCGAATCTTGGCCGGCCTAATTAAGGCTTGGGGCGTCAAAACGTTCCGGTGTAGAATGCTCGGCTCGAGCCAAATCTGGTGCGGGCCTAATTAGGCTCGGGCCAAAAACGTCCGTGTGAACGTGCCTTAAGTATACCAAGTTTGGTAGCGCTAGGCCAATTAGGGGTCGAGTTATAGAGCGGAAGGAAAATTGTCTGCGGCGGCGGTGGCTGGGGAGACATGAAACCATAGTATCCCCGCCGACTTCCTCGCGGGGGATACAAATTATTGTAATTAGAATAAAGGCGTCTATATTATACACAACAGCTTCGACCATCACTGGCTACGAACATTGACCGACGTGTGTGTGACGTACAAAAACGTGCCGTACAATATGTCAATGCAGGCACGGAGCCCGGGGTCAGACTTCGAGTGCTGTGAAATCATGAGAGTATTGATGGCAGGGGCGGATCGAGGATTTTTGAAATGGAGGTGTCCAGGAAGAAATAAAGGGCACTATTTCCTGCTTAATTTTTGTGGTGTTTTAAAAAGCTGCCGCAGGCACTTGGAGGGGGGGGACCTCTCCCAAGAAAATTGTACATCTGAGCAGTAATTTTGATGTCTGGAATGGAAGATGGAATTCCAAAAGTTTTAGCAGAAAATTATCTTTATGTTATTCTACAGTGAAATTCACCTCTGGGTCTCACCCCGAACAATAAAATGGGGTTGAAAAACAAAAATTTATCAGATCCGGTCCGCCGGACGCCCCGTGGACCCCTCTTTGCCCATTTCTAGGTTTTTATAAAGAATTTATATATATACAAGTAAATCTTTATCAGAAAAACAATCCCTAAAAAAATTGGGATGAAATTTTTTTAGGCCACTGAAATTAAAGGGGGGGTCCGGACCCCCCAGCACCAGGGGCGTAGCTACGGGGGGGGGCCTGGGGCGGTACGTGCCCCCCACACAAATTTTCTGTGCCCCCCAGGTGCCCCCACTGAAAATTCATGCTTGATAAAAAAAAAATTGAATTAAAAACAATGCCGTTAGAACAGTATAATACAAAGAAAAGTTATATATTGTGCCCCCCACGAAAATGTAAGGCCCCCCGCTGAAAAAATCCTAGCTACGCCACTGCCCAGCACCCCCCTAGATACGCCCCTGAATGGGGTGACATTACCACACTCGTTGCACTGGTGGGGTCTCTCGTTCGTGTGCATGTTCTTGACGTGGCGTCGCAGCGCGTTCGAATGAGCGAAGGTGACCCCGCACTGCTCACACTTGTACGGTCTCTCCCCCGTGTGCGTCCTCATGTGAACCTGTGAGGCAGGGTATTATATTAGCCAGGAATGAGTATTGTGGGAGCGCAAAAAAAAAATTTGGGATTGCAATATTTTTTTGTCTTAGCCAAAACCGCCCTACGGCGTTCACGGAGGGGGGGAGTATGAGAGGGGGGTCATTGGGGGGTACGGGGGCCTCCCCCGGAAAACTAAAAAAAACTTTAAAAACTGACTGTGCAAATCACGGCTGCACGGCTCGCTGGCTAATACGTTGCTGTGAGGTTAGCGAGTGGGATGCTTGGCACGAAAATATCCGACGGCAAAACGAATTCATCCCCTCATCCTTCCTTCCCGTCTGATTTCTAGCAGGGATTCACGGCAAGAGAGATTTAGCTGACTCGTTGATTGTTTAATAATGATCTCTCTTCTCTCTACTCTCTCTCTCTCTCCTCGTCAGCTCTCTCTCTTCTCTCTCTCTCTCTCTGCGTTCTCTCGTCTTCGGCTCCCTTCTCCCTCTCTCCCTCTTCTCCCTCTTTCTCCTCTCACCCTCTCTCCCCCACGCTCATCTCTCTCTCTCATCCTCTCTCGTCTCTCTTCTCTCTCTCTCGGTCTCTCTCTCTCTTCTCTCCTCTCTCTCTCTCCTCTCTCTCTCTCCCTCTCTCCCTCTCTTCTGCTTCTCTCCCTCTCTCTCTCCTCCCTCCTCCCCTCCCTCCCTCCCTCCCTCCCTCCATCCTCCTCCCTAAACCTCCCTCCCTCCCTCCCCCCTCATCCCTCCCTCCGCTCGGCGCCTCCCTCCCTTCCCTCCCTCCCTCCCTCCCTCCTCCCCTCCCTCCCTCTCGTCTCTCTCTCTATCTCTCTCTCTTCTCTCCTCGTACCTCTCTCCCCCACCTCATTTCTTCTCTCTCTCTTCTCTCTCTCTCTCGTCTCTCTCTCTTCATCTCATCCTCTCTCTCTCTCCCTCCTCCCTCCCTCCTCCCGTCCTCCCTCCCTCCCTCCCTCCCTCCCTCCCTCCCTCCCTCTCTCCGCTCACCTGGAGATGCACCGGACTGCTGGAGGTGTTTCGCCGCACTCACGGCAGATGTACGCGCGCTCGCCCCGTGTGGTTCCTCAGTGTTCGCCATGGGACAGACCGATTACTACAAACATGCCGATGGCAGACACACCAAGTATAGTAACGAAATATCCCAGAGATGGAGCAATGGCGTGGGATGGCGGATGGACAGATAGGAGCGAGAGGTGGGCTAGATGGAGGGATGTATGGGACGGATGGATGGACAGATATGAGGAGAGGTGGGTAGATGGGAGGGATGGATTGAATAGAGGCGATGGAATGGCACATGGAATGACCAGGGATGGTATGAACGGCATGGCTAGATGTGGTTATGGATGGCGGGATGAGATGGCATGGAAGATGATGGATGGATGATTGCATGTAGGATGTTCCCGTGGTCGTGGCGTGGAGAGGTCGTGGATGGATGAATGATGGATGTTAGGATGGTGATGATGGACTTATGGTGTGGGATGGATGGAGGTATGATGTTCATGGGTGGTTGGTCGATGATGGCATGGATGGGATGGATGGATGATAGGAATGAATGAGATGAATGGACGGATTAGATGGATGGATGGAATGGATGGCGTGGTTGATAGATATGGATGGATGGATGTTATGAATGAATGAATGGATTGTATGGATGGATGGATGAATGAATGAATGAGTGGCATTGGCATGGGTGGTATGGATGGATGGTTTGATGGTGGATGATGTATGAATGGATTGATGGATGGATTTTTTTTGGGGGAGTGGATGGATGGGATGGATTATGGAAGTCTTAGGGATGGCTATGGATGGCGGATGGCGATGGATGGGATGGATGGTGGATGGAATGAAGCGGACAGATAGGGGAGAGGTGCGTTGCGATGGACGAATGGGGATGAATGGATGGCTGGATGGGTATGGATGGGCAGATAGGGGAGAAAGTGGTCTCATAACCTCTCTCACCCGGGTCGTGATGGCATAATGGATATGGTAAATGGCAATGGATGGAGGCGTGGTTGGATGATGGTTATGGAATGGATGGTATGGATGGGTAGGAATGGAGGATGGCATGCATGGTACATGGATGGATGGTATGGATGGGATAGCTATGGATGGTATGATGGATGGATGGCTATATGAATGCCGACAGATAGGGGAGAGGTGGTGGATGGACGAGATGGAGATGAGATGCGATGCTGGCATGGAATGGCATGGGCAGCAGGAGGCGGAAAAAAGTGGGTTGATGGCAGATGAATGGGAGGGGATGGTATGCATGGATGGAGGATGGAATGGGTGGTGGTATGCTATGGGATGGATGAATGACATGGTATGGTGGTGATGGCATGGTAGTTATGGGTGAGAGGATGATGGATAGATGGAATGGGAGGATGAGGATGATGGATGATGGATGGGCATGGATGGATGCATGGATGGATGGATGGATGGATGTGAATGCAGGGATGATATGGATGGATCCATGGATGAATGGGATGGCAATGGATGGACAGATAGGAGAGAGGTGGAGTGGATGTATATGGAATTGATGGATGGATTGGATGATGGAGTATATGGATGGATGATGGCTGGATGGAGTAATGATGAATGGATGGATGGAGAATTGGATGGATGGATGGATGGATGTTGGATGATGGATGCATGGGATGGATGGAGGGGTGGATGGTTTGGATGGTATGGATGGATGATATGTATGGTGTTTGGCATGGATGCATGGATGGATGGCATGGCATGGCATGACAGGATAGGGAGAGGCGGCTTGTGGATGGATGAAATGGTTGTTATAGGATGTGATTGTGTGATGGATGGATAAAGATGAATGAATGGATGGCATAGGTATTGATGAATGAATGTCATCGGATGGAATGGGTGTTGGATGAATGGATGGAATATGGGATGGAAGAATGGATGGATGGATGGCGTGGTTGGCGGGACATCGTGGGTAAATGATGGACAGATAGGCGGGAGAGACACGTGACGTAATGATGAATGAATGGGTATGATATGGATGGAATGGATGAATGGATAGTTATGGAAATGGTGATGGATGGACTTAGCGTAGGGGATGGGATGGATGGATGGTCCATGGTATGGATGATATGGATGATGTTATGACGGATGGATGGATGGTATGGGTGGATGGTATGCTTGGAAGAGATAGGGCGGGGGGTAGATGGAGGGTTGTGAAGCAGAGTGATGGCATGGATGGAATGGGCATGGATAGATGGGATGGATGGTATGGCCATGGATGCGGATGGATGGATGGGATGGGCATGGAGTGGCCATGGATGATGGGATGGGCCGATGATGCAGATGGATGGATGATGGACGATGAGGCATGGATGGATGGATGGAGGATGATGGATGGTATGGCGCATGGATGGGGATGAATAGCATGGATGCAATAGATGGTATGATGGCGTTGGTGGGGTGCGATGAAAGATGTATTAGATTGTTGGACGGATGGAGAGATAGGGCGAGGTGGGTAGATGGAGGGATTGGGAGAGTGATGGATGGATGGATGGAATGTGATGGAGGATGATGGATGATGGAGGATGGAATGGATGAGGGATGGCATGGATGTACATGGTAGGATGGATGGATGGAGGTCTGGATGGATGGAGGCGATGTATGGAGGCATGGGATGTAAGGGATGGATCGACATGGATGGATGAATGGGGATGGATGCATGGTCTACCTACTCAATGAATGGGAATTGGACAGATAGTAGAGAGGTGGGTGAATGGATGAATGGTGGCGAGGGTGCAACCACCACACACCCATGGATGATGATGGCGCCATGAGCATGGACGGCAAATGGATGATGGAATGGGGGTGTGTTTAGATGGATGACTGGATGGATTGGAGGATGGATGAAGGGATGGATGCATAGATGGATGGATGGCAGCTTGTTGGTGGACCGTGCGTCATGCGATCAGATGTATAGATTGTTGAACGGGATGGAGAGAGTAGGGCAGGTGGCGCCGTAAGATGGGAGGGATTGGTAAGAGTGATGATGGTACTGGATGATGCGATGGAGAGGATAATGGTCGAGATGGATGGCGATGGATGGGATTGGATTGATGGAATGGAATGGCATGGATTGGAAGGATGCGCACGAGGATGGGCATGCGGGCATGGATGGATGGCATGGATGGATGGTATGGGGATGGATGGTCATGGATGGATGGTTATGGATGGCCTATGAATTAGATGGATGCATTAGCATGGATGATGCCGGTCACTGTCCCTGGGTGTGTGGTGTGGATGGGAAAATGTATAGATTGTGGACGGATGGAGAGATAGGGCAGGTGGGTAGCATGGAGGATGGAGAGTGCATGGTATTGTGATGATGGACAATGGATAGATGGATGGATGGATGAAGGATGGCCGCTGATGGGATGGGTAGCGGAGTCATGGATGCAGCGGCGTGCGAATTAACCGACGCGGCCACTCGGACGGCACTATTGCGCCGGACTCGGTGCCCCCTATCAATCGCCTTACGGCCCCATGGAAAATGCTCACCCCGACCGGACGTGCAGTGACCGCCTTGCCCTTTTCTGTATTGCCCGTCGGTGCTCTGCCTCTGGCTCGCCGGGACAGCCGCCTCCCATTCCAGCACTGACTGACTCACCCTCTCAAACCTCATCGTAGCCCTCCTCCTCTCCCTCTCCTTATGTGATCCTCTCACCATCCTCATGACCCCAATCCACTTACAATATCTCCTTCACTTGGAGCAACGAACACTCGTCCCGCATCCCCTCTCACCTCTGCCCCACGTAGTTCACCCATCCCCCTTCGCTAGCGCACCTATGGGTTCCGGGCCGCACTATTAGTGCGCAGAGCGGTGGATACATTCTCTAGTCAGAGCGTGTGCCAGGGCGGGATACCAGTGCTAGCCCGGGGGGGCGGGGTCAAGAACGAATAACGCTGGGGGGGGGTATTTGGCTGGGCCCAAGCCTGGTGGCAGTAGGACGCGATACAAGTAGTGGCACCTGTGTATCTTGCGCGGGGGTTGGTAGAACACGAAGATTTAAATGCTGCACGCCCGGACTCGGCCGCGCGGCTGGCGAGTCTTAAGAGAGGCTGGAAAACGACGCCGGTCGGCGCAGAGGGGCGATGCTCTCATCGATCGTCCCGGGCGTGTCTCACCTGCTACAGTGCCGCCAGTAACATTCTTAGTCAGCAAAATATTTGAGTTAGAACTTTCATACGTTCACACAAACGGTTTTCATAAGCAATTGGCCTTGGTGCCCTTCTCAGAAGTGTGTGCGAGAAGTTGCGCCTTGATCGCCCTCTTTAAAATTGCCATACCGGTGGCAAAACCCATCCCATTTTAACGAGAGACAGAAAATTCAAAGGCAATTTCAAGCACATGCCCCACATAAGAAATGGTGTCCGTGTGCCCGCCGTCTCGTTCGGCCCCTTATCGGTTGTGTGGAGCGGCGGTGGATGGAAGTGGCATGCAGATGGGATGAATGGGGATGCGACAGATAGGGGAGAGAGTGAGCGTGAAATGGTAAATGGAATATGGACGATGGAGGGGATGGAGGAATGGGGCCACTCTTGGTTGGATAGCGATGGCCCACTGTGGGGGTGGGGCCATGGATGGGAGAGTGGGGGCGGGATGAATTAGCATGGGGGAGTGTGGGTGGGTTGGATGGGCTGGGCCGGATGAGTGGCGGCTGGATGGATGGGCATGGCCTGACATGGGTGGTTTGGACTCAGATGATGGCTCGGGACTGGCCATGATGATCTCACCCCCATGGAATGGATGTTTTGGGGGGTGGTGGAGATGGCCATGGATGAGGATGGCGATGGAATGCGGGCATGGGGTGGATGGCATGGACAGATAGGAGAGGGTTGGCATAGATGAAGGGATGGCCTGCATGGCAATGGTGATGGCGATGGATCGATAGAGAGTAGGGAAAAGTCAGATGATTGGGGATGGTAGATAGGATAAGTAATTCAACACAACTTTTAAGTTTCAATTAAGAGGATTAGTGTTACTCTAGGTTCTTAGGTATATTTTCAAGTTTATTATTATAGGTGTACGGGATTGACGCTAGTAGCGATAAAAAAAATTTCATAAGGTGTCGATTCGACCATTAGGGAGGCGGAAATAATTATTAAACACAGTGCCGCGGAACCCCCGGGGGGACAAAAAAATTTTTTATTTTTTTTTGTTAAAAAACACAAAAAAAAAAAAAACAGAAAGAAAAGCGACAGCGCTCATCTAACGTGGAAGCTGCAGGTGAACTCATGTCGGTGAGTGGGCGGATTCTAGTAAAACGCGCGTGTTGACGGTCGCCAAATGATGTGTACATACCACACCGAAACAGATAAATGCCACCAGGCAGGATGGTATCAGGAACCCGCTCAAAGGAGTATGATTCGTTGGGCATCTTAATGAAAGTTGCACGAAGATAAGCCGCGTACGTATTAAGTGATACTTCGGATTAAGAATAGAGAAAGCTCCAATCGTACGTAAAGTTAGCAACAACATATTTGTGGCAAGACAGAATAAAAGAGTAAGGCACTCATCCATAAATACAACTACGCAAGCTACACAGGCGGCACAAATAGAGAAGCTTGCCACCTGTGAACTAATTAACGCAAGGCCAAAAATACACAGTAGCGCCCTACCACACAACCACACCATGCACTGCAGTGGCCGATGGCGAGTGGCATACGTTACATTAAAACTAGACAGATACAGGACATGCCATAGAAATGAATACGATTTTAAGAAGCATAAACCTTCTTCAACCAAATTTAGCTTTTGAAATTCATCACTGTGACAGTTGTAGACCCTCATACAGCGGAGGGCGTGAGTGAATGTGCGTGATTAGGGAGGAGCGCCGGCGTCAAATTCTTCTGAAGGCAGACAGTGGAGAAGGCGAGAGTGCCATGTTTAAGCCGGCGCGGCCCTCCTGAGGTAGTCAAAAAAAGGTTATCCGAAGGGCAGAGGTGTAGTGCTTCGCCATAAAGGCGGCGGGGCGCGGGGGGGGGGGGGGGGGGCGGCGGGGCGGGGGCGGCGCCCCCCCTTTTTTTTTTTTTTTTTTTTTTTTCCCCGCCCCCCGCAAAAAATTATTTTTTGGGGGGGGGGGGGGGGGGGGGGGGGGGGGGAAAAACCCCCCCCAAATTTTAAGGGCGGAGAAAAAAGCTGTCAGCAGACAAGGGACATGTATTCAGATGTGCGTACCTTTACAATAAAGCCCATTAATGTAAAAATGCAGGAAATTAGGGTGCGTCAGGCGCGGCGCGTGAGAGAGACGAGAGAGGGGTGTTCTTTTTGGTTTTTTTTTTTTTTTGGCATTGTATTATATCACACAAAAATCGCTCGTCAGAAACAATATGTCCTCAAGACAAAATTAGAAATATACATAAATCTGCACCAAGATTGACCACATGTTGACCGTGGTGGACCTGTGACCGTGCATTTACGCGCGCGAGCGGAGTGGATGGCGTTTCGCTGCATGCTACTCGAGGTCGCTCAGTCCGGCAGGCCGAGGGTGGTGCAAAGCGGGGAGTAGGCGGCCTAAGCCGTTTAGATGTTTGTGCCGCAATCTGCATTCTCCTCCGTACTACCTTAAGTTAAGGCATGAATGGTCCCCTTCTTTTACACCGTCCTGTGGACCTGTGACCTGTGACCCCCAGCTTCGACTTCCCAACTCGTTGACCGAAACCCCCCGATGTGCGCGAATATCGGTGACCGTACGTCGAGGCGTTAAGATTGTGCTGCCCAACTGTTGAACCCGGACGGACGGACGACGGCCGGCTGCTACGGCGGGAACGAGACGGCACGATAGCGATTCTACAAAGCTGCATCTGACTATGTTCACGTTGATATGCTAAAAAGTTTTTTAAAACTAACGACTACAGTTGTTGATTTCAAACGACCGTGGCCGCCGACTCAAGCACGCATCTGCATAAGTGCCGCAAAACCACTTTTCCAGCCAAGGGCTCTACAGACCCGAGGGTGTTTCTTAATTATTCATTAAAAGCCAAAAGGATTGTAATACTTATAAAACGACATATAGTTTCAGATTATATTATGGTACATTTGTCTTAAAATGAACATCAGTCTCGGTTAAATAGCATAATTAAGTATAATCATAATTGCACCTTTGTGATTACGCCTCGGTCTGTAACGTTGCAAAAAAACTTGGCAAATACGCAACTTTTTCGGCTCCCGGGGCGCCGCCGGCCGGAAGTGGTGGCAGCACGGTCACGGGTGTCATGGCGCCGTTCAAATTTCGTAGCGTTGATGTGTAATTAATTATAACAATCAAATTAGGTATCTGGTAACAAATACGTGTGGGTATAGACGATTTGTTATACAGTAAATTTATACAGTTATATGCAGTAAAATCCTAGAGTCTACTATCCCTTTAATAATAACACTACGACCACGACATCAACCTCGACGATTTTGAAAAACAACTGACCTCTCATTCGCCACGACACAGCCAGACTACACAACAACAGACATCTCTCACTAAGCTTGTCACTCTCTCTCACTAGGCATGTCAGTCGCGTAAACGGAGGCTGCCTCGTCGCCAGGGTAAAAAATACACGGGAGCGATAAGCGATTCGCTCTTGAAACCTCCGAAATCGCTCACGTGAGGCTCAAAATAGCTCCCATAAAATTATTGATGAGAGCTATTTTTTCCACAGAATTTTGAAAAAGAGCTCCCGTGGAAAAAAAAAGTACACCAATTTTTTCCCCTACTCACAGCCGTTGTCATGGTTACCTGCGAATGCCATCGAGCACATGCAGCACGAGTGGGGCTTCTCTCCTGTGTGGATGCGGCGATGGTTGACGAGCTCGCTGCGTCGCGCGAACGCCATCGGACAGACCTCGCACACGAACGGCTTCACGCACGCGTGAACGACGACCATGTGCTTCGCGAGGTGCTGCCGCAGCCGGAACCACGCCCCGCACTTCCGGCAGGCGTGCGACGTCGCCGGCGCCACCTGGCCCGCTCGATCGCCGACCGCGCGCTCCGCCGGCGCCACCTGGCCCGCTCGATCGCCGACCGCGCGCTCCGCCGGCACCACCTGGTCCACTAACTCGCTGTCGCCACGCTCCGCTGGCGCCACCTGGTGATTGAACACCAGGCCGCTACGCTCGCCGGCATGCTTCGCTAGCGCCACCTGGTTGCAGCCGCGTCCGGCGTCGAGGGAGTCTCGCGACAAACAGACGCCCGGTCGTCGTAACGATGGGACGGTATCCTCGTCGTGCCCGCGCTCGTGCGTCCGCAGCTCGCCCGGCCGCTCATAAAGGGCGCACGTGTAGGGTGGCTCGCCGCTCCGGCGCGGCGCGGCGCGAGGCTTCCCCCGCCGCCGCGCGCCGCCCACGTGGGACCGCCCCACGCTCCCCCGCTGTCTCTCACCCGGCTCCAGATACATATCGTTGGCGGCGGCAGGAGACTGCTGCCCCCTGGCGGCGGCGTCGACAGACGGGAGGTCGAACGGCGACAACTCGGACTCGGACACGCCGCTGTCGTCGTTGTCCGACCATAAGAAATGCGCGCCTACCGCAGCGAGGTCGTCGTCGTCGCCGTCGTTGCGCCTCGACGATGGGGGGACACGGTCGCCGTGGTTACCGTGCGCGCTCTCCCCGTCGCTGTCCGACGCGGAGTCGCTGCTCTCGTCGCTCGAACTCGACCCGTCCTCGCCGGCGCCATCTGGTGGCACGTCCGGAGGCGAGCGCCGACTCTCGATCTTCGGCGATCGCGTCGAGCCCGGGAAAAATAGAGAGTCAAACCAGTCTTCACTGATGCCACCATCGTCGCCGTCCTTCCTCTGGGAGCGCATCAGCTGCTGCAGCTGGGCGAGGTAGTGGCGTCGCATGTCCTCCGCCAGCTGCTGCTGTCTCGCCTCCGTGGCGGCGTCTCGCTCCATGCCTGCCGTGAACGATAAATATTCAGTACTATTTTACCTCGAAGGTTTGGTAATGAATATATGCAGTACGCAATCTATTATCCGAAACCCTTGGGACCAGACACGTTTCAGAATTCGGAATGGTAGTACAGTACAGATATATACATACCGTATATCCTGCAACTAGCCAGTACTAAAACCCAAGTTTTCAAGAGGCCAAGTGCTGTACCGGTACAGTACAATATACATAGGATTAGTGTCAAACACATTAATATTTCTGCAGTGAACCTTGCAGAGGCGTGTACAGGGGGGGGGGGGAGGGGGTACGGCCCCCCCCTGCTCGCGCAGAGAACGCATCTAAGGGGGTCTAATTTCAAAAAAATTTGTCCAGACCCCCCCCCCTTCGCGTGCTCGCAACTTTGGGTTACGGTTAGCCCCCCCCCCCTGGTACAAACCCTGTACACGCCCCTGCCTTGTGCAGCCAAACGTGAGCTTTGGTGTGCAGACGACCTCCACAAAAAAGCTTTCGGTTATTGGAGCTTTTCGGTTTTCAGTATTTCGGATAATAGATTGTGTACTGTACATGTTATGCGCATGCACACACGGTCATACATATCTATTCTTCTACTAGCTGTGGGTTGACATTTTAAGGTTCGGTAATGAATATACAAGCGCACGCAATAAATATGTGTGCATGCACACAGTCATACATGCATATTTATGCTGCTACTAGCTGTGGGCTGTGGATAGGCGTAATGAATTGTGGATAGACATTTTCAGGTTATGCAAAGAATATGTGCTCATATATGTATCTATGCTGCTACTTGTTGTGGGCTCTGGGTAAACATTTTAAGGTTAATTAGGTAATGAAAATACGTCATGTGTATACACACACGGACATTCACATACATACAGGGTGCGAAATTAACGGGAGTCCGGAGTCAAATACTCCCAGATTTACTGTTGGACTCCCTGATTTGACGTATGAAGGAGTCCGTGTGACTCCCTGAAAATTCAGCCATACTAACTAGTTCGTTCCAGAGCACGGCCTCGTGGAAATATCGTATTTTTCAGCTAATATCCAAAGAAAATTTGACAGACATGCAATCGCACATGTACGTATGCCTTATTGTTAATATCTTTAATTTTGAACCTCAGACTGCGGACTCCCTTATTTTGCTGCGGACTCCCTCTTTTGGAGGATTGGACTCCCGTGTTCAAAAGTCAATTTCTACTCGTGTACATATCAGAAGTAAATAACCATAGATTTGTGATCACTTACTCCTGATACATATCAATGCTACTACTGGTTGTGGGTTTTGGGTAGACACTTTTTATTTGCGCATGCACACACGGACATGCTGATACATATCTATGCTACTACTAGTGGTGGTCTCTGGGTAGACATTTTTGCAGCATTTTAAAGGGTCATCTGGAGTTGTCTGGCGCTAATACTAATAAGGCACATTGCCTGATGAATTAATAGCACACAACTGCCTTGTCATGATAGAGCGATGATAAAACAAACGCAATACACTTATATTATCGTGGGCCGGGTAAATGTGAGTACCTTTGAGAAAATACGGCAGTGATCACGAACAATTAAGGATTGCCCTGACCCAACTACAGGCACTTGGGCCGTTGCAATAATAAAATGATTGTAAATTAACACAAACTATAATTACTGCTAATAATTACTGTGTGCTGTGAGATTTTGAGTAATATTATAGTCTAGAATTATAGCGCTATTAAAGTAGAGATCGGCATTTGAACATTTAGTTTTACAGAAACTTATTACTACTTAAACTTAAACTTTGACCACCATGTTACTACCATCTGCACCAAGGCTGCACGACAGCTAAATGTACTTAAACGTATCGGGCGGTACCTCAATTTTGACTGCCGCAAGGTTACCTACTACTCATTTATAAGGTCAAACTTTAATTTCTGCCCATTGAATTGGCACTTCTGTCGAAGGAAAAATGTAATTAAACTTGAGAAGATAAATTACCGGGCCCTCAAGTATGTATATAGAGATTTTGACAGCCCATATGAGGAACTCTTATCCAGAGACAAAAACATATCCCTTCTCTTACGCTGCATGCAGCAATTTGCTATCGAAGTCTTTAAAATTGCACATGGGGACAGGCCACTATCTAAATGACTTGGTAACAAAAAAGGACACAACTGGAAAATATACCTTCAGATACATAAATAAATTGGAAGTGCCACGCACAACGGGGTCCGCTATGGGTGTCACGGTTAGCCGGTTCCCGTCGACTGGCTTCAAAGCCACGCAGCTAGGCTGTGCACCTGGCCAGCTCGCAGCACGCGCGCGAGGCGAGGAGTACCGTGCGAGAGCGCAAGCGGGAAGGACAGTAGAGCCACGCAGCAGAGCCGCGCGTGAGCGAAGGAGAAATGCATAGTTTTCGCCAAGTTAGGCAGTACAGTAGAGCCACGCAGCAGAGCCGCGCGTGAGCGAAGGAGAAGTGGATAGTTTTCGCCAAGTTAGGCAGGACAGTAGAGCCACGCAGCACAGCCGTGCGTGAGAGAGAGAAGCGCGTCGTTTCCGAGCGCACGTTGTTGTGAGAGAGACGCATGTGTAGCAGAGCCACGCAGCAGGACGGCGCGTGAGCGAGGGAGAGTTATAAGTCTACAGTGGACACGTGGCAGCGCCGAGCAAGGGACGGACAAGCTCAGCAAAGAAGAAGGAGGAGAAAAGGAGACGGAGACGCAGAGCATCCACCGTGGGTCGACAGACGACGACGGAGAGGGACAGAGGAGGAGGAGGAAGAGAGGCAGAGAGAGAGAGACGACGCGCAAGCGTGATTTACGTTGGTTCGTTTTACTTTGCGTTGATTGTATAATTCTGGAGCAATACGCGTAGCGGTATGCACGCATTGATTGTATAACTCTGTAACAGTACGTGTAGCGGTATGCACGCGTTGATCGTATAACTCTGTAACAGTACGTGTAGCGGTATGCACGCGTTGATTGTATGATACTGTAACAGTACATGTAGCGGTACTCGCGCGTTGATTGTATGATTCTGTAACAATACGTGTGACGGTACGCGCGCGCGAAAGACCGTACGAGTCACAGGCACTCGGGACCATTTCAATAATAAAATTATGCCGTCAAATTGCAGCAGAATTGCTCCCAGAATGCAATGTGCCGCCATTGCTCATGTACTTATCCCATTTACGAATCGGCTTCATGGGAAATTTGCGGCAAATTCGAGCAGGATTTCTCATATAATTCTGGGTAATATGTGGTACCAAAGTTGCAATAGTACTATTTCGAACAAGTGGACCATTCACTTACACAGAGATGCCTAAGTGGATCATGGCCGTTGGATCGTGTATTTCTGTTCGCTCGCTGCTTTGAAAAGATTGGAAGCGTTCTGGAATGTTCTGTTCCGCCGAACGCTTTCTTAGCCTTCTCTCTACCACTGTGTAATTTGATGCATGCACAAGGGCATGCGCCGCTACTGTGTTGTGCAGCGGCGTGAATTGGGACGGTTTGAAGTAAAGTTATCTAGGTCAAATCAAACTTTATAGGACTTCCATTTACTCCGGTACTGGTAAGGGCTCCCAGTAGTAGTCTCAGTACTGACAACGTGCTCTCACCTTTCAGTAACAGTCGTTTTATTATCGGAACACGGTCCAAGTGCCCCCCCGCCCTGTGCGTACAGCATGCATCGGTTTGCTGATGCTGATATTGATTGTTGGTTGTTTGTGCATTTGATATTGATATTGATTTGACGGTGATTGTCGGGTAGTGGATATTGACTATCGACGGGTCGCGGTGTATGACAATACATCTTAGCGGCCTTGACATTAACCAATCGTTTCTTGGGTTCTGTTTGCACCTGACGCCGGCGCGGCGTGGATCACACAAAAAACTACGAGTATGCACACACTATCACGTATGACAATGGGCGGACACAGTCTTTTAGAGCTAGCGCTGCCAGACTCGTGGAACAGTTCTACAGGAAAACTTTGACGGTCAAATGTGGAAATTTCACTGAGTTATCAGAAAAATCGCAATGTTCGTGGGAGGGTGGATTAAGTGGCAATATGATGCAATTGTGAATGATTTGTACTTGACTTCTATCAGCGAGTTTAATAATGACCAAATTTGTCATTATTAACTTCCGATTCCTAAGTGTGTATGTTTTTCGTGCCCTAAATGTTTATCTGGACTGAATGCTTTTACTATTTTATTCTGTTTTTCCTTTTTAAAATTTTTTTTTATATGTGGAGCATCGTCGGCCGGAAAAGCCATGCGGCTTCCCTTCTCGTTCAGGATACGAGAACATGCGGTCCAATAAAACAATGTCATTTACATCAATATAAATCAATAATATCCCGACCCCTATATTAATCAATACTAACTAGGTTTAGCTTATGCGTTATGCGTTTGCAGGGTTTTATGGATTA